ACAAGTGTTTTTCAAACACAAAAGAATTTATTCTAACCAGCAATGGCCTTATTCAAGATGTCCCAATTAAGGTAACACAAAGCATGTCAAAACTGTACAGTTTGTGCTGAAGTCTGACCAACCCTTTCAGCTGTAGATTAAAGCTAACCTTTGCATCAGAAGTATGTTAAAAATTAACACCTACTAAATTGGCCACTAGTAATTAGTAAAATTAGAGAATAGTAGTAGTGACTCCAGAATTTGACCCATGTGTTTCAGAACAGTTTGGAAAAGTATTTTCACACAGTACATGCTCAAACTCCTTTTTAAACCATCCTTTGCATTTTATCTAAATTGCGTAAGACTTTGTAACAAGAGACTGTAGACCAATCCGAAGTAAGCAGGAATGTTAGCTGGAGCAGAAGAAACAATAACCAGCTTAAACTGCTAAAATATTTTCTTTCATTTGTGTGACAATACTATATAAAAGTTTCAGCTGAAGGTGGGGGACCATGTTGTGTGATACTGTACAAAAGCAGAGTGTAGCGTATGGAGAGGGAGCACAGAGAGTACATGCAGTGAAAATCTGACCTGAGAAGGTTGTGTTAAGAGTTTTGGGAAGAAGGAGTAGAAATAATGATAAATTGATTTTGCCACAGTTAAAATCATGTGGACGTTTGCTTAAATTCCTCGGATTCTGCTTTTTTTTTTTTTTTTTATTTGAGGAGAGGGGTGAGAGGCTTGATTTTAAGCAGCAGTAACCCAAATGAGCTGCAGAATTTTGAGGTTATTTTACTTGAAGGCACTGTAATACAGTAGTCTATGACAAGAGAAGTATTTTACTCAATCACAGCCTAGAAATAGCAAATGTTCCCTTGACAAACACCATCAAAGTCTTTATTGACTCCATGAAACAGTCTTTTCTTATGCAGACAGTTGAGCTTCTCAGAATAATAGCTGTAATGTTGCACAGTAATATTTACATGTGCAAAATAGGTAACCGAACACTTAGGATGAATTCAGAGCTGCTGTAGTGGGTTTAACTTCTTTGAAGGCAAGTAATTTGCACATGCCTGCATCGTGGCTGAGTGTGATCTCTTCAGTTTTTCACTGTTAGGTTGCTGGAGATACTAAGATGACTGTTTTGGAAATGTATTTCCTAATCATAGCATGCCTTTCCCACTAAGGATGTGGCTTTGATCAATTATTTACTTGGTCTCAAACAGATCTACACTTCTCAAAACCTTTCTTTGTTCAGTTTGTACCCAAACCACATGTCCTTGGTATCAGCTTCTGCAGAAAGTCTGAGGCAAGCGATGGCTGCAGTTCCATGCAGCTCTGAAAGATGAAACAAGAAGGAAACAGTAATGATGTCTGATTTTTTTTTATTCTCCTCTTATTACGTGAATGCTCACTGCATTAGAATATCCTCACCAGCAAACCTTTTGCAGTTATCAGATATCTCAGCTTTGTTTCAGTGCTTAACCAGCTGTAGAAAACCTTTTATTGCCTCGTATATTTTTCCCACCAGAAAACTTTTAATTTAAGTAAATCGCTTCAGTGGTAGTTTATAGATTACTCGAAAATGGAGAGTTTTTTAAAAATTGGTTGTCACTAGCAGCCAGGTACGCATAGCGAAGCAAGCAGGAGCCTGTACTGCAGGATTTGTAAAGGGGGGGCGAGGGGGTTACCCCATGAGTAATGCAGTGGTCCTGTGCCCTGCTGCAGAACACCATCTGGCTGCTGTGCGCTACCAGAGCTGCCTGCCAGCAGGCACGGCTCATTAGGAGCCTGCTTGCAGGATATAACATCTTTGCAGTCAATTAACAATGCTGCTCTTTAAAAAGGTCCAGATCCTTCCTGATTCAGCAGAGCACTTCAATACATGTTCAAAGTTAAATGCTTGATTAAAGCTTTGTGTAATAAAGATGTGAGGTCTTGTGCTTGAGGTTAAACAGGTAAGCATGTTCCCAAATCAGGGCCTGACATGTTATGGTTCTTAGAGGTTTCCAGGAATCTTGAACATCCTGAAATACTGACTTTGCTGATTTCCAAGCCGAGTATAACCTACAACTGAAAAACAAAACCAAACCACATTACTGTGAAGCACACAGGAAAGCCTTCTAAAATCCGTTTCCAGGTCATCACTGATGCTTGTCTAGCCAAAGAAATTAAAGCAGACTGTTTACATTTTTGTAGCCTTAAAATAAATAAATAAATGGGAAGAAATTATACAAGCCCAGTTTTCTGGAAATTTATTTATTTTTTTTTTTTTTAAAGAAGAAATATTTGGTAAAATTAGTTTATTCTTTGTAGAAAGAAACAGTAAGAGTAATTGAGGTATTATACACCTCCTAACTGTAATCATTCTCACTGTACAAGGTGGTATTTTGTAGCCTGCTTCCTGTGGTCAAGTAAAGAAGTGAGTATTGGGAGAACCAAAATCCAAGTTTTTGCCTTGTTTTTTTATGTAATAATGTGTGCTACTTTCCCCCACTTATTTTCTCATGTGTAACATCCACTTATTGTAACACTGTACTGAAAAATCATTTATTATTTATTTATTAGTGTTTATTCATTAGTATTTATTAGGAAAATGTCTTTGCTCCAGTTCGGTGGGTTAACAGCAGAATCAAAGCTATTCCCTCACTGATTGTGAGTTAGTTAAAAGCACAGCCACTGTGTTGCTTGTGGACTGGGTTTAAACACCTTACTATGAGATCTAAACGTGCCGTTTTCTGTAATAGTATATTGAATTGTTATAGCTCACTGCTTCATATTCTACAGTGTCTGATCTTACATACCCACAGAAATAGTTCAAAGCTCCAGCTGACTGCAGTGAGTGTAGACTCAAGCCCCAAATAATTTTTAAACACAATTTGTTTTGATTAATTGATGAAGCATGCTATGATCGTGGACAGTTTCATTCTTTCTCTTACTTTGTTCTGTTAGAGAGCACGTTGAAATAAGTTTTCTGGTGTGTGTGACACCTTGCTTGTGTGTTTTCAACTTTTGTTTTCGGTCTGAATCGGGCTGGAGTGGTATTTTGGTTTTAATTTATTATTTGGACCTGAAACTTAAAACCAAGCAGCCCAAACAAACATGTTCCCTGTACAAAGACTGCCCAGAAGTGGCTGGAATTCGGGCACGGCACCTCCTGTTGAGGCGCTGGGATGTCGCCTGTCCCCATGGGGCTGGTGCCATCAGCCCTGGGCACCCCTGGGCCGGGGCTCTGTGGCCTCTGGCAGCCCAAATGGTAAGGCAGGAGTCAGGTCCCAAGGGTCTGTCTCCAGTTTCCACTCCCAGATTCACCGGATCTGTTCAGGTGTAAGGCTTTGAGCCTTCACAGGTTACCATGTTTTGGGTACGTTGGGGAAATTGGTTTTAGTTGGTGTAGTGCTTGAACACCCCAGAGGTGCAGGTTCAAGAAGCAGTGAAATCCAGAAAGCTGGGGCAAACCCTGTTACAAGACCAGCTACCAAAATCCACATCGTCACCGCCCACCAGAAGTCCGCATGAAAGTTCAGTGAGGGCCCTGCCTTTCTTTGCCTTGTCCCAAATTTCCGTGTATTTTAGTTGAAGTGTTTGGGGTTCAATGATGCGGGCCTCTTTCAGTGAAAGCATTTGCAGCAAAATGTCCAGCCCCTCCCAGACACAGGGGTGAGCCTGAGCTGCATCAGAAAATGGGTGAACTTTGGAAAAGTTTGGGCCCCATGTGAACTTTGCCACTGATCAGATATAAGTAATCCTGCTCGGACCCTAACAGCTGAGTTGAAGCAGAGCTTTTGAAAAGATTGAACTGGGATCTCAGTTTTATGGCTATCTCTAAAATATTTTACTGCTGGTTTATGACACCAGAGTGTAAATTATGGGGCTGTAAAGGCTTGTGGTGTGAAGGTTTTATCCTTTGCTTGTGTTCAAAACATAAGTAGTACCCTTTTGTTTTTAGGGAAATAGATATTTTATTTTTTTTAAAAAAGGTACAGCTTAGAAAGCCGTGCGCATTAGTAAGAAGAACATCTTAATATTTTTTTTAAGTGTGAGTACTATATTAGTTTGTAGTGTATAATTATTTTCAGTCCATTGATGTAGGTCAAACAATTGAGAAAAGGAAGGGAGAATAAGTGTGTGCTATATGTATGTAAATACTACTAATTAGCGTGTGTAACTATAAGGATCAGAGAGGAAATGTCTTTTATTAGGTGAAATAATGGAAAAAAGTTTACTTTGGAAGTACAAGGCCTTTCTCTTGTCTGAAACAAACCTTATATATTTTGCGTGTAGATATAATGAATCAGCTTCTGCTATGTGTGTACACATAGGTACGTGCCTACAACAAATGCAGTTACATAAATGCAACAACAGCTACAATACTGGCTCATATTAAAATTGCATAGTCCTGTTCTCCATTTTTAGAAGAGGAATGGTAATAAATGAAAATGTTTTGTCTCCCATTACATTTTTAAAGCTAACATAAAACTCTATCATTCAAGAAATGTGTGTTATATTTCGGACTCAAGGATTAAAGATCAATTCCATTTAGTTGTGACTTCATCAGGATTCATCAGTAGCTTGCCCTGGCCTTTATTTCTTGGGTTTTGTATCCAGTACTCCTTCAGATTTTGCTCCATCCCACGTTGAGATGACTCACCGTCATTTCCTTCCACTATCTCATGCTGAGTGACCACGGGCAGAAAAATTGTTTTCATTTGCTCCTTTTAGTTAACGTTCTTGTTCCAGTAGACTTGCTCAGATAAATTTTTTCACAAGTTATGAAACAGTTATTTTATATCTGTGAATTACATGTTATTCTCCAGCCCCCAACCTTGGCACCGGTGTCCTTTCCAGTCTCTGGGGAAAATCCTGATTTATGCTGATTGGGATGAAACTGAAGTGTTAAGTGTGATTCTCCTCTTCTCCAAGACTGGAAGGACTGGGATGGGACATGAGTGGCTGGAGGAGTGTGAAATACCACTATATCCTTAGCGGTCCTAAATTATTATTGTTCATATTTCTTACAGGTGATGTCTTTATCCTGCTAGGAGACGCAGGCGGATCATTCTTTACCAGCTGTCAAGGCCAGTGTTACCTCCTCAGTGCCCTGGTGAGGGGGTGCCTTAGAAGGGCTGTGCAGAACAAGCTTTGAACTGCCTCTGCACTTCACTTCAGGCTCCCTGCACTGTAAGTACCCTGTATAATGTTGTGGCTACCGCCTGGCATTTCCAGATTGGTTAACTAAGAGTGTTTTGGCTTAACATCTGGAAAAATTCTTGTGATTTTGATGATTTCATGCTTTTTAGGTGGATGAAACTTTGTATCCTACTCGAATAAATAGGAAAGGTGCTCTTACATTGATGCCTTAGTCCCTATAACCAGCAGAAGCTTCAGTGATTGTTGGAGAAATTAGTATTTTTGCTGTAGTGCATTACAAGTTGTAAGCAGCACAAAGGCTGTAATTGACAGGCAGCATCTAATAAAATTCCTTCTCTTGCTGCTGTGCCTAACAAGAAAGGAAGGAGATGCTTTTGATTATTTTGAAGATACATTCCCTAGCACCTGTAATGTATCTAGTGGTATCTCTGAATATATAGAGAGAGGGAAGTTGAAGCAATGTTATGTATAGAGGTGTACATTTTCCAGCTCTAAGAAGGATGTGTCTGCAACCTAACTGCACTCACTTTAGCTGAAATAAACAATTTTGGGAAGAATTTAGCTGAATGGTTATTTTTGGTCTGGCAGAGGGGAAACCGACTGAGTGACTGTCATTACTCTGATGCTGATTACTGGAACTGACCAGTTTAAGGGCAATTTGCTAACTTTGTTTAAAAACAAAACTGGTCTTTCTGGGTCTGTGATTTAGAAAGGGAGGAGCTCTAAACCACTTTTTTTTTTCCCTTCTTATTCTTTTTTTGTTTTGTTTAAATAAATATAAATTATTAAAAAAAAAGTAGTTTCCTAGCCGAAAACATTATCCAACCCCACATGCTGTGGGATTTAGAGAATTGACAGGATGATTCAGACATATAATCCTCACATTCATTCCCACTCCTGAAGATTTTCCTTAAGGAATAAAACTTCTTTCCTGCAATTGGTCAGAAACCAAACCAAACCCTCCCCTTTTCTCCTTTTTTCTTTCCTCCCCCCCCCCCCCCTTTTTTTTTTTTTTTTTTTTTTTTTGACTGGAAAGTAAGACAAGTAATAAACCTAACATTAAGCTCTGGCGCACGCTGTAGTCCAGCAGAACCTCAGGATGTGAGCGGTGGGAGTTCAGCAGGCATTTGCAGCACTCCTCCCTGTGAGATCTTGACTGCTAGTTGTCGGATCGCTCCTTCCCTTCCCTCTGCCCTGCTCCATCTGGAGACGTGTGCGGGCAGGGGCTGCAGGGTGGTTCACAGTGTCGCCTTTTCATTTTTTACTTAGGGAGTGGGGCAGAAGGCACGGAGAGCGCTGCCATGTGTATTGGTTTGGCATCTGTGTGAGAGACAGGCCAAGGGCACTGCCACAGCTCTGCCCCTGAGGAATAGAAAGTTGTGATCTTGCAGCTCTGCTGCTCTCTTGATGTAACTCTGTTGTCCTTTTCCTATATGGGTGTGGGGGGATGGTCATGTAAGCTGCAATGACTCTCTCTCTGCAGCAGGAATTAGGAGTACTCAAAATGTGCAAATTCATAAGGTGGGCACAGAGAATCAGTTTATGATGGATTGGTTGCCCATTTTTTTTCCCTTTTGTTGCTCCTTATCAAAAATAAACTCAAACAAAATATACCCTTTCAATTATGCAGGAAATAAAGCAAGTTAGTGAGACTCGGTGCCTGTCCATACTGCAGTTTAGTTTAAATGCCCACGTGCATGTGTATTTTCTTGCTTTCTCCCTTTTAGTCGTCCTTCCCTTGGTGCTCCTCCTGCCAATTTGGTTTAAAGATTCCTCTGACATAATCTTTAATGTTTTTAAATTGATAGTCTGATTTTTTTCTCCCCTTTGTCATTCTTCCTCAATACCCATCAACTTCTTCATCCATTCCCTTGGTCCCTCTTCTTTGCCCCTTAAATCAGAAAAGTCTCTTAGCTTGCTCTTGTACTATCTGGTCCCCAGTTGAATCAAGTAGTACCAAGTTATCTGGGGATTTCTTGATTTTCTTTTTTGGCATATGTATTTCCACACACCCACACCCCCTTTTTTTTTTTGGTTCCATTATTTTAATTGCTAGGCTTTCCTGCCAAATTCAGGCCTTGTTGGTCGATCTGTCTGACCTGTCTCTCCTCCGTCTCAGTTCACAGTCTCTGTGGGCTTCTTTTGGAATTTACCTGAGTTCATTTGATTGTTTCAAGCTTCTCTGCTGTTCCAATCCTATTTCACAGCTGCTTTTCTTACTGTGTCTTCAGTTTGGGGGTAATCCCAAAACAGAGCAAGTTTACTGAATACTGTGCAGGATTTTCCCTTTCACTGGCACAGTTCTAGGCAACTAGATTCACTGCTACATGACTTACTGCATTTTAAAGCCAAATCCAGGCTGATGGGAGGATCAGAGTGGCTGCCTGCAGTATGTTGCCTTTCACCACATTCCTGATTCCCGTTTTGCTACACCAGATGCTGCCCATGTCCTTGTCTCTTAGGTGCTTGCTGTGTCTCTCTTTTTCCACTAGCTGATGTTTCGTCGGTGTTTAAATCCACATCCAGCTGTGTTTTTATTACACGCAGAGATGGAAACTCTGCCCAATGATTCCTTTTCATTCTCCACCTTCCTTTTGTTTTGTCTTAAATATATTCAAGGGGGAAACAGGAGGAGGGATGGAAAAGGAGGGGTTCAGTCTAGACTTCCAAAGCAATTTCCTTTTCCCTACAGAGCACAGCTCATTTCCTTCCAGAGCAGTGTGGCTGGGAAGTTGCACATTTCTTCTCAGTGCTGACTTTCCTGAAATTTGTTGAGTCAAAGCACAGCTACTAGGAGCGGTCCAGAGGACTGTAAACACGTGTGTGTGAATGTTCTTCCCTCTCTTGCTGCTGAACAGAAGAATAAACAGAGATTAATGTGGAAAGGAGAGGGCGGTCTAGATAAGCAGCCACAGGGTGGAAATGTTGAAAGAAAACTGACAAATATCCATAGACACACCTGCACTTGAATGTTTCTGCATCATGGGGCCTCACAGAGCTTATTTTTGCCATAAATGTCTCAAGGACAGAAAACCAGCAATGTGGAGGTTGATGATTTGCCTGAGGGTTAATTACAAGGTTTTGCCTTTTAAAAAAAAAAAAAAAAGTGATAGTTTATGGTTGTAACTTTAACTCTTCATATGTTGCATTTAGCCAAAGACATGAGAGTTTTTTCCTTTAAAATGCATTTACAGTTGCTGGTTTTGAATTGTATTGCATTTAGTACTGTTGCATCCACTCTTACCAGGTTCCTGTGTTTGCTTTAAATCAAATTACTAAGTTGCTTTAAATCAAATTAAAACCAGACCAAGAGAGTAGAGTAGTCATGACTGAGCAACTTTTCTTCTGTGAGTTTATCATAGTCTCTGCTTAAATTTTTCTGGTGAATTAAATTCAGTTTGGAAAGGAAATGTTTCCAAACAAACAAACAAAAAAAAAAAAAAAAAAAGGAGAAAAAAGTGATGAGATCATAACCTGTCAACTCCATGGAGTTTCTAATTTAGCTGGTGTCTGTGTTTGTTTACTTAAGAGATGAGATGTCTTCTGTGTTGTGAGTGTGTGAAAACATGAACAGGAAGATGAGCTGGAATCTGACTATATGCTTAATTTAAGATAATTATTTCATCCATTCAGTCTGGCTTTTGCTTAGCAAAAGTTACACGGTGTTTGTCTTGCCACCAGTAGTTGCAGATCTGTGTCTGAATAACTGGTACTTCTTTCTGAGTCTGAAAAAGCTCATAACGGCTTTCTTGTGTTGTCGGAAAATGCACAATGAAACTTTAGAGGAGTACTTCCAATCTACTGGGTATTGCAGTTACACAGGAACTTGAGTTGGTTGATCTTTTTTTAGTAGAGGAGCAGATGAGGAAACTGCCTTTACATTTCATCTCAGAAACAGAAGTTCAGCAAACTCTCTAGGCAGAGGAGCTTTAAAAGATCTGCTTCCCAGACCCTTTGCCTTGAATTCCCAACTACAGAACACCCTTCTGCCATTAGCTACAAGGTAAAACACCACAGTGTTTGCTCCTCTACAGCTTGATGACATCTTTTCGTGTGAAGGAAAACACCTGGTTTAGGAAGAGGTTGTGAATGGGTAGTCATGCTGGGGGGAGTGATAACTACATCCTCTTGATCATCCTGTGCTGGATAGTGCCAAGCTGTTGGGGCCTCAAAATTTGGGAGTTGCTGTCTGGCATGGGAGACTTTGTAAGGACTAGGAGAAGATGTTTGATATGTAGAGTAATGTAAAAACCTTGTTATGGAGCTCACGCTGCAAATTATAGAGCTTTTTAGCGAGGTAGGTTCTTCTTGCTTGCATCAGCCAGATTGCAGGTGGCCAGATTGGTACAGGGAGGTTCAACTTCTCCACGTGCAGAGGTATCTCTGGAGTGAATAGATGTGTAGCAGGTAGCTGAAGGCTCTTGAGTTAGTTACAACGTTATTATAATCCATCCAGCTGTGTTGGACTGGTTGTCTCGAGTTTTTGACAGCTGTGGCTGGCAGGGAAATCTCTGCTCTGTTAAAGGGAGTTCTGGCAGTGACAGGTATTCAAGATGAAACAGAGGTGGGGGGAAATAAGATGGCTATGACATTTCTACCGATATCATCTGCCACTGAGTGATCACTGTGGGCTTTTTTTCTTCCTGAAATGTGTAAGTCTATGTAGTTTAGAATTTTTAATTTTTTTTTTTTTGGGCCTGTTTGCTGCTTGTAGTTGGTGCTAAGGCTGCATTTAGTAGCTCAGTTGAGTGAGAGGTAATGATGTTGCTTTCTAAGAGGGAAAATGGATTCTCAACAAATACAAATGATTTAGAAAATATTACTTTTGTAGCTGTGATCATGGCATTACTGGGAGCTTTTAATACTCAAAGCAAGGTCAATACGCTCTGACCAACAGGAAAAACTGCAATAGTAGCTCATCTTTTTACCCTGCCAGGAAATCTCAGGTTTTCAAGTAATTTTTCATCTCGTTTTTCCAAATATGCACTCAAATGTTACTTGGGGGGGCAGGGGGAGACTGACCTTTCTGT